GATATATAGTACGCCCGCGATATACGAAAATATACGATATTCATTCGTCCATATTCGGACTTTTATACTTCGCGTACATTCGGTAGTTACGATACCTACCACTATTCAAATTACCACATACAACCACTGAATAAGGTTGTGTTGCAAATTCGGAGGAGCACTTCAAGCCTTAGGTGCTGGGAAACTAAACTTATTCAAAAAGCCTAAAGGCAGAGGCCACTGTACCCAAAGCACAATAAGTACGAAAGTGCCTGCGTTTTGAGCTGCAGACAAGCCAAGAAGTAAGCCCTCATTGGTTGTCAGCGCGGTCAGTATTGCAACTGGCACGTCAGCCGTTGCAACACATTATGGTCAGCAAATACACCAAGTCGAACTGGTTTTATTTTTTCCCTCAGAATGGAGGTTGTCTATAATTTGAACGATGAAAATCCGAAAACGAGTTCCCCTACCTACATTTATTTCGGTGCATCAAGTAACCGAAGAGAGATTCTAAGGTTACGACGATTGGGCCTGCAAGTGTGACGGTTGAGGGGCAATCATTGGCCTATTGATCAGAATTCCGTGTATAGTTGGGGTTCGTAATACGCGGCGTGCACAGGTGAAGGCCTGTTAGCCAAGATAAGCTAAAAAATATATACTTTTGTGATGAAAGGCCTGAGTTTGGTCTTATTGGCAGAGACGCACAGTTTTGTCAGCCAAGCTCTTTGGTTTCCTGAAGTTAAGGTTTAATAAAACATAAGCGTCCAAAACACTGAGGCGAGTTTTTGTGAACCAACGCACCTGTATCTTCAAACTAGGGGAGTAGAACAAGCCTGAGCATTCTCCAAGCACCACGCTAATTGTTCATTGTCATGAAGAGGCTGGATCCCACCATGGTAAAACGGTGTGTGCCTTCGGAGCCTACTGAGCTATACTGTAGGTTGTCCGTGCGACATTAGCGGACTCACTCACACTAGGTTGATCAGTGTGCAGAGCTGTGATCAACAGAGACTTCTGGTCCTTCAAGTCGGGATCGGAACAGTGGCGACTTGTTCCTTAAAAGACAAAACGCGCCAACATCTTTCGCCAAACACCTCTGCCTTGCGGTCGGGTTTTTGAGCATAACCGGACCATACTCATCATCCTTCCTAAGTTTGGTTGCCCTGGTATTATCCCAGCCCGCATACCATCATGGTTCTCACAAATAATAATACCGCCGTGCCACATCAGCTGTCGCGTGAAGTTGTCAGCCAGATCTCTACTTGCTGCACACAACAGAACGAGTAAGAGTCTGAATTTGTTCCTTCGTAATGGTCTGGCTACACAAAATGCCACTTCACTCGGAATGTGAGACAAAGAAATAAAAATAAAAACGCTAGATGGAGTACACAAAATCAGAAGGGGTCGAAAGGAACAGATTCGATGAGAATCGTTCCCTTTAAAATAGTCCATCGTTGGCCCAGGTCAGCGGTCTTCTGACCATTTCTCACGCACGTTAAATTCCGAAGATAGTCTGAAATGTTTTGATACCAGAGTTGGTACACAAAACTCGCGAATGAACGTTGTAAGCCCGAGCGAAATCAGAAGATAAAGTCGAAGCACGTGACCACGCTTGTATTTCATATAAATAGCTTAAATGCACGTTTTGTACTTTTTCGTATTTAAACAAAAACCGTTTATGCAAGTGACAAAATAAGTGGTGTCATTGTGGAAGCATAAGAAACATACAAAACGCCACACTACTTCCCCACCAAGGCGTCGGTCGTGGAAGGAGAAAACGTTCAAGTAATGAAAATAATGATCAGAAGGTGTTCACTTCAAGTTTCGTGATCAGATACGTTTTGAGGGAAAAGGACTTGTCTTCCGGAACGACTAGTGGAAGGAGTTAGGTTGGCGGTAGGGGTATCTTGAGTAGGTGCAGGTGATGGTGGGGAAGCAGGGTTGCTGGATGTGGTCGTGGGTGCTTGGACGGAGGCAGATGATCAGCAGACACTGTATTCTGCTTTCCGGTTCTCTCTAAAACAAAGTACTCGGAATGACGTTCGAGGACCCCGAAAGCGCTAACATAACAGGGTTGGAGAGGTTTCTTTGTTGCGTCATGTCGGACAAATACAAATTGTGCGGAAGAGAGATAGGTTGGGATATGACCCTTCCGTGTAGAGCGTCTTGTCGGCATTGCAAGAAATTCAGACGTGCTGTTTCGGACGAGTGACGAATGTGAAAGCTGAGTCGAGCGCTGGGTTAGAAATGGAAAACAGTTCACCAGGTAAATGTAAAGTTGTACAATGTACTAGTACGGCTGGTGAAAAATGAGGATCCTCTGTAATAGTGAAACGAATAGCAAGCAAAGTAAGAGGTAAAGAGGAAGGCCATGAAGATGGGTTCATTTGGGCAGTCGATGTGGTGATGGAATGGTTCAGCCAGGCCACTATGGCATGGAGGATAGGCAGTTTTCGATATGTGATGAAAACCGAATAAAGTAGAAAGCTCACGAGGGGTTACACCGGAATTTTGCACCGCGGTCGGTAGTTACTCACCAAATGCTGCAAAAACGAAGACGCTACCGCTTCAGCTGAAGCGTCCAAAATGGGCGCAGTTACTGGCCAACGGGAAAAACGATCATTCATGTTAAGAGTATGATTAAAACCGTTTGATGGGAAGAGTGGACCGACGACATCAAGTTGAAGTTGTGCGAGTTGAGCATCAGGATCTGTAAATGAGCCTAGAGGTTCGTATTTCGTGTTACTTTGCCGCGTTGACAGACGATGTACTATTCAACCCAGACCGTTATATCGTTGTTCATCTAGGGCCACACGAAACGTGCACCAATCAACCTCTTTGTTGCCCTGATTCCTGGATGGAAGATTCTATGATAGTGGTTGAAAGCAACTCGTTGGAAAGTTTCAGGGACGATTGGGTCAGTTGCGCCAGAAAATATATCACAAACTGCAGGAGTGAAGGAAATGAAGGAACTCGAATTTAAGGGGAGGATGGTATGGAGATAAATTTATGATCACCGTGATTAAACTTTGCCAGCTTGGCTAGGTTCGAGTGAGTGTAGGAGTGGAAGGTGTTAATGTCGGTGCGGGATAGGGCGTCTTCAAAGACACCGTCTAATCCTAGGGTTTACCAGTGTGTATCGGTAGTGAATTGGGAAATATGATCTAGATAGAGTATCTCGCGTGGTGAATAACGATCATGCTTGGCGTTGGAAGCGTGTCTAAGTGGCTTATGATAGGTTTGAATGATAAATAATCTACCTTTTAATAAGTGGCGGAAACGGCTGATAACAGGGTTAATCGCGAGTAATTTACGGCTAAAAATACTGTAATGTGGCTGTCCACTGTGCACATTTTGCCAGAAAAAAGATAATGGTTGGGATATGTAGTTTGCAACAGCTCCAACAGCAGCGTTTCACGCATCATTTGCGAGCCTTGTGTCTCATGGTTGTCCAGAAAAGGTAGTTTTGTGGCTTGAGCGATGGCTTGCTTCACTCTTTCGAAATCAGCGGTGCCGGTGGTGGGCAAGCAACAGATTTATCTATGGGGCCAGGTAAATCGGTTAGTGGCTGTAAAATATCTGCGGAATGATGGATGACCCGCCGATAATAGCTGATGATGCCAACAAAACGCAGAATTTGAGTGACAGTGGTGGATATAGGAAAAGATTCTAAGGCTAAAATGCGATCGGGTTATGGTGAAATATTGGTTGGTTCAATGCGGTGACCAGGAAAATCTAGGCTGGTAACACCAACCAAGCATATTTCAGTGTTCAAACGCATATTGTAGGTTAAAAGACGTTAAAATACTGCCCTCGGATGACCTGCATTCTCAGCCGGGGAAGCGCTAGCAATTGAAACATCTTTTAGATAGGCGTGGACATAAAGTGAACCATGCAAAACTTCGTCCATGGAATGTTAAAAGGTTTGAGCTGCATTTTGAAGACAAAGAGGTATACGCGTGAATTCGAAAAGTCCAAACGCTGTTGTATCCTCATAGCGCTATGGGGATATTATAGTATGGACATACTAAATCGAGTTCGTAGCAAATATCTGCGTGGCATAAGGTACTTGAGAAATCGCGGATATGTAGGATGGTATACCTGTGGGGGCTAGTGGTGTTACTGAGAGAACGATGATCTATACAAGGTCTCCAATCGTCTTTAGATTTCTTGGGTACCGTGTGTAAGGGGTGACTACCAGTGATTTGGTGAAGTGCGGATGATGCCGGGATCAAGCACGTGTTCAAACTCGTGTTTCGCGATCTGGAGCTCATCTGGATGGATCTGACGGCGATTGGTATGAACGGTGTGCCTCGTGTCTGGATGTGGTAAGCGACGGAATGCGTGGCAATGGTGCAATGACATGGATGAGAAGGGGTAGGAAAATCCCCAAAGGATATCGCCAAATTTTGGATCAGATAGGATAACTCGGGTACCCGTGGTTGAAGTTGACTGAGAGGTAGGTTGCCACGTCCAAGAGACGTCTGTGTCGCACATCGACTGATAGGTTGTAGTGGGTTAGAAAGTCTGTGCCAAAAATGAGTGTTCTGACGGCAGCTGGAAGCAAAATTCACGTTGCAATCTAAGGTCAAGTACGAAGGAACGTTCACTGTAGGTAGAGATGCATGCACCGTAAGCGGCTTGTAACGAATAAGAAGCCGAGTCAGGAATTAGGTTCTTATGTGATAACACACTTCAGTTTCCGCACCTTCCAAAAACGTAGACCACTTGAGTGTTTGGTGATGCGGAATAGGCGACTAGTGGGAGGAGAGCCACAGAGAATCGTCACCGTTGCTGACTGGCCGCGGCGTTTATAGGGCTGTTGGAACGCGGCTTGAAGAAACATAGCGGTTGGCATTTGTGTGCTTTGGGACTGAAAGATTAGTGATACTAGTTCCATGAGGGACAGGAACGCGACAGTGATCATGATCGTGGTCGACGCTCGTTTATTTCGATCCATTGTAGAATACCGGTCAAGGTATAATATCTTGTTCGAAGTTGCGAAATGGCAGAAATAGTGGGATAGGGAACCGTAGAAGTTGCGGGTGCCAATCGAATCCGACTGTATTCCCAACTAAATCAGATAAACCGGTGTGGGTATCCCTAATGACCGGAAAAAAGAAAAATCTGTGACGACTTGAAAGAAAAAATGAAAAATATCTAGAAATACCCGGGCTTACCAGATATGTAATGGTCTGGTTGCCCGAAAGCTACCTTACCCAGACTGTGTGGCAAAGAAATAAAACCAATAACGTTAGATTGAGGACAATAATAAAGAGGGTCAGAAGGAATAGACCCACTAAGAATTCTCTTTAGACTAGTTTGTCGTTGGCCCGGGTCGGTGAACGAATAATAATCAAGTCATGGTTGTCCAGGAGTCTTACTTTGAACAATTCTCACACAATAATAAGTCTATTCCCCAACTTGTAGGGAACATGCCGACTGAGGCATGATCAGGTCGCTACAACCTGAACACGGCAGGGAAAGGGAGTACAACCACTGCAAATTTGGGAACCGAGAAACTAGAACAAACGACATGTGGT